CGATACATACGGGAACGACGAAATCTGACCGCAACAAATGTTGCAAGAAAGCGGAAGATACTTTCATGCGCCACGGGAAAGACACGAAAAATTTTCAGAAGTGTATACAACGCGAACAATTTATATGTAAACTGCACTCTACCGTAACAAAAAGAGGGGAATGTATAAAGTACCTCTGACACGCAGAAATAGTTTTTATTTATTAAAAATGGAAAATATTTAATGAAAGATACATATGAGTAAAATAAAAACCACCAAACCGCATGAACATTTTTATACAAATATAACAATTATTAGATGTGCCATTCGTGTAAATATTTTATGGATGGCTATGTGAGTGTTAAAAAAAATTCATAACCTCTTCAGAGACAGTTAGTTAGTTTTCTCAAAAAATATGAAAACCTATTTCTTCTAGCGGGAAAAAAACAAATGCTATCGATTTGAAACGAATCAAACACACCTGCATAAAAAATTAGATAATTTTTTTACAACTTTGAAAAAAACGTCCCTGAGGAAGTTAAAGGTGTATCAGTATCATAAACGTCGCGAGAGAAAATTAATTTTCTTAGACACAGTGAATGGAAGTTTCTTACTCATCAAACGCATTAACAGATGATGAACGCTATTCGAAGTAGTTCGACAGTTAGGGAAGGAGATTGAATTAGGTGGTCGGGGCACAGTATCAATGCCTAACGGTGCGTTTACGTGATAAATGATAACGCTCTGTAGATGGCCGCCGCCCTACGTAGACGTTTGCCCTCGGTGATTCCCCTGAAATCCCCAATAACGTGTCCCCCCATGGCGTAATATCGTCCTTTATGAATCGTATTTTATCGAGAAATAATGGAAAGCGCGTTAGGTAAGTCACTGTACTTAACGTCCGCTCTCAAACGCCTTCACCATCGTTCAAATTTAATATCCGTCTATTAGAATTATTAGATGTACAAACGATTTGAATCCACCGTATTGTGTTAAATTTATCACTTACTATCGGCACATATCAGAATTAAAAGGAGAGAAGATTGAAACTTAATAAAAAAATAATATTTTACGAAGAATTAACTTAAATTCATTTTACTGTAGGGATGACCGAGCGTGAGTGCGTGTCTGTATGAATGCGTTGTCTGTGTGAATGCGTGAGGGTCTATGGCGTGAGCGGTAAGGACCGGCGTGCCAGGTCGAGTGTTTGGGATAGCGCGAACGATATTGAACGAATGTTTAGTTTTAGTAATCAGGCGAGGAGTGCGTGAGTGCGTGTGTGTTTTCTTCCAACGAAAAGTGTGCATGTATGCAAGATGACATTAGGGTGAATGCGAGGGAGCGAAAGGCAGTGTGAATCCAGCGATTGATTGAGCGACATCCCTAGCGTAGCGATATAAACTATTAATAAATATATTATAGTCAAAAGTCCGTTCGAGTTCACTATCCCTCCACACAAAAATCCCCTACATTACTATTTTCATTTTTCAGCGAAGTAAGACGCAAGGAGGAGAATTTTTATGGGGAACCGGGAAATCGAAGTGAAATTGGAGTTATCAGAATGATTTGTTCAGTGAAATTTATTCGTCGTTTTATTCAATCCATTACGCAAAGAATTGACTTCCATTTTGAAACTTTAACTTTTGAAAGAAATAAGGCAAAAGGAAAGGAATTGTTATGTGGAAATTGAAGAGTTAATCGAAGTGAAATTGGAGTCGAAAGACCACGACGAAGTCAGAACGTCGGAAACGTGATTGGATTGAGGAGGTGGCTGGACAAATTTGGTTAGAATCGAAATTGAACCGTACCTGGAAGCGTAGAAGGACGTTTTGCTGGCAGATCTGTCAGTCTAAGTGGATAAAAGAGCAACGAGGGTAAAAAGGATTTCCTTCTCACGGGTTTTATACTTTTATTTGAAACTGTCTACACGATTAAAAGTTTGCAATCTTTTGCACTAAAAAGTCGAAAAATTGAAGGTGGGAATATAAAATATCATTGGTAAAAAAAATAATATTATTTAATGTCCACTTTATGATAAGAGTAAAATTGGTTGTGAATATTCTAATAACCTATTCTTAATGCCTATACCTAATACCCTTTACAATACTCTTACATTTATAAGAGATATGCCGTTAGTCAATGACCCGACTCCCAAGTCCACGGAAAAATATCCTATGTCAGTTTTATCAAGTCGACGAGGTTATTCTTAACGAACATGAAAATTACGAGTATGAAAATTCCTTATCTATACTACTGAAGCCGCACTGTTGGGTACTTGGCATCTTTCAGTCTTTGTTAATCTTGGAAGTGCAATGCCTTTAAGTCGCAATCCCCATAAAAGATGGGTACCGCCGGAGGAAATTCGATTTCCTTCGTCGTTTTTGATATTCGGGGTGGCTGTTTCGAGGTTGTATCTGTGGTTATATGACACGTGATAATAAGTTCAATAGCAATATATTTTATAACAATAATTTCATAATAACTATAAACACACGTAAAAAGGAATAATGATAATCAGATGAAAGGTCTCTTATCATATCCCGCAATAAATTCTCACGCACTCTCTGATATCAATAACAACGCGGTTCTACTGTTTTTACTCCCTGTTACTCTGTATGATCCGCTCGTTTTCCAAATCTCGAGACGATTCAACAAACACACTACATTCACGCCACCACTCACGACATATTATTAACCCTTTCGCGACGGCGGAACCAGCCATCGGTACGCCACTAACAAACGGGTCGTCATGCCATTAGTGCACACCATGCACATTAAAAGTGTCTCGCGTTTTTTCAAATCTTAGAGGATTTCGTTGGAACAGCAAAGGACTTAAGGGTGTATCGGATAAAGGGAATGTTGTTGAGGCCTTGTTCTGTATTTTAAAATAAATCTTCACTTTGAGTTGTCGAATTTGATTAGAAGTGCTGCAGATAGTGAAAAGGAGGGTTATGTTTCCAAATTCCATTCGGAAATATAACTTGATAACTCTTCGCGCATTCTTGCAGGGAAACGTGAATCGATAACTAAATAAAAGAAAAAAAAAGGAAAGAGAAAAATAAATAGGAAGAAAAAAATTTGTACACTCTTATCTTAAAGCTCCATGTAAATTTTCAAATCTCATATACTTTTATACTTTATAAATTTTTAACACTCTTTTGAATATACATATAGGTCTGAGAATCTTTATTGCTGGGAAGAATGTTAAGGGACCTTTTCGGTGGAGGCAATGAACCGTACCGGTCTTTGTACGACTGTCACACAATTCAGGATACTTTGGAGGGTGTTAAGTCTGGATTCGAACATTCGAAATTCCCTCTGGAATGCAAATTTGGTCGGTCGTAACTACCAGGATCCAGAGAATCTTCGGTGTCTCTATTGTTGTTGTTTGATCAGTTAATTGAGGAACTATTTAATCCAGGATTATGTGTAGTTCAACATAAATCGTACATTATCTAATTGTATCGTTATGTATATGTTAATGTATTGCCAGCGATTGGGGGTGGTTCTACCATTTTCTAGCGTATCATTCGCAAGGAATGATAGTTCATTTTTAAATAGTGTTCTAAGAAATTTTCTTCCATAATATTCTTGCTGGATTATTTCTAACAACACCCTATGGAAATAATCAAGTGAGGACAAAAATGTCTCCGGGTTATTTTAAACAAAGGCACTAAGACTTCCACCAGATGCATCTGGTGTCCGTCTTCGAGTCACTCACTGCACAATGCCATACCATAATGTAAACAGTTTCTAGGTATAAGGGGACCCCAACTTTCTTTTGGGTGCCCAGAAACAGTCCTTCAGAAGATTCAATAGAGTAAAGACGTTTCCTCTGAGACCGTAAATAAATCGTATATTACAAAGTTAAAAAACTATTTCATTCCATAACCCATTTCTAATAATTCTTAATTACCATCCTTCAATTTTATATTATTAATTTTCCTAACATAAACATTCCTTACCAATTTTTCTAGAAATATTTTTAACAACCTTAAATATCTTAGAAATATTTTCTATCGTTGATCAATGTTTATGAAAGAAAAAGCAAGACCAGAAAAGATTTTAAGTTAGTTACTCCAAAACGATCTCCAACAAAAACTACAACCTTCACCAAAAGTAGACGATCCTATCCAAAATGAATCATTTTTTTTTCATCTACTGCAGGTAGCACTATTAATGATTTTGCTCGGTGGAGTGAATACTTACAGGTAGGACTTCTCCTGATCCCAAGAAACTATCTCCGTGACGACGAACCGGCCAGAAGTCAGGGCTGTAGTCTTCGGCCTGCCTGAGGATACGTTCGTAATTGCGACTGCATGCCTCCAGTAGCTGGCGTCGTGCTGCCTTTGCGGCAGAATCGTCAGGAAGGAGTCTCCATCCTCGCTGAACACCGGCGGCTCGAACTGCTCGACCCATCCGTGTTTCTCGAAGTGCGACAGGGCCTGCGAAGATGAATATTTCATTCGCACTCCATCCTCTTCTTTTTCCTACCATCCTTCCTTCCTACTACTACTTCGTCAGAGACACGTAATCCGTCCGTGGCGAAAAATTGTACGTCGTTGAATTCCGGAATTTACCCCACTTCCACGCTTCTCGTTTGATGAATTGGACAAAGAGGTATTTGGGGACAGTGATTTGGTATAGTACCCCGGGAGTGAATCAAAGGGTTTAGTACTGAAGGAAAATTGATTTTGGAAAGTTTATTTAGTATTGGAAGATATTAATTTTGGTCATTTTTAGCGCTGGAAATTTTTAGTATTGAAAGAAAATTTTAGAGTCAGGAAAAATTCATTTTAGAAGTCTTTAGGAATTTTTAAGGTTGGACATTTTGAGTGTTGAGGAATATTCATTTTAAAAATCTTTGGTATTGGAAATATCAATTTAGGGAACTTTTAGAGTTGGAAATTTTTAATATTGGGGGAAAATTGATTTGGGAAGTTTTTAACGTTGGAGAAAACTCATTTTACAAATCTTTGAATTGGAGAAAATTTTTAGTATTGGGCACCAGGCTATTGAAACACATCCCACATAGCACATACAGCTCATAATGTATAGGCATACGTATACGTACAACGGTGCAATTTGGGGTTTGCTTGTGGACATAGCAGTAATGGAAGTACGTTCTGTTCTGCACCCTGTTCATCCAGGTCGCGTACACGAGATTGTCCGTAGGAAAAGCGACAGCGGATAAAATCCGCTCCTGGGAGGTTAACTCGGCCGGATGTTCGATTTCAGTTAAGCTCACGTTACCCTGGACCACCTTCTCCAAGTCGACGTAAAACAACTTCACCGTGGGATTGGTTGTGCCGCTCTGAAACAGGAGAAACTGGTCAGCCATCGATCGACGTTTGCTTCCTAGCTTGATTAATAACCCTGGAGAACTCGACCACGACTTCACCTCCTATACTTACTATACTGTATCCTTTACTCTAGACTACACCTTTTTTTTTTTTTGGTCCTCTTACAGACACGTAAAGTTTGTCATTCGTGACAATTTTCGTGTACTTTTCATTGCAAAGTATTGATTGCAGCATCACACGTTAGATCGTCATTTGAATTTTAATCAAATTAAGGCAGCCATTCATTATACGCCGTGGCAAATTGCACAAGGAATTATTGAAATTCCATCGCTTCAAGCGTAAAAGGTACTCTTCTTTCGACGTTGTTAAATTTTTATCGCGATTAAAATAATATGTGCATATCGAAATTACCGATCACTCTTTACAGTATTTTAATTAACATAGGAGAGACCCGGGGCTAGTTGTCCATAGAGGTAGGTAGACTAACTGTTGCAGAAACGAATGCTATACCGCAGAAAAATTGATTGTAGACGCAAGTCACTTCTACAATGCCATTTATCTGTTTTCGACTCCGTGATCGCACGTTGTTTGAGTTTTATCAGCGTTTATCGAAAAATTGGCTAGCTAATTTTTGTTAGCGATTTTGTTTTCACGCTGTATATAGTTAAAGGAATATTTTAAAATTTGTTTACTAGACGACTTATTGAAACAGTTTTTTTTTTTAATACATAAATAATTTAGGGTTATGTAGAGTATTGAAGTCAAAATGATCGTTCGGGGCTGGTTGACTAACTAACGTCCGGGATTATATGACTAGCTGGTCAACTAATTCTTCATTATAATTTATCAGTTTATACTAACTTTTCGTTACTCAGAGTTAGTTAATAACTTATTTATAAAGTTAGGTAACATAAGAACTATAGGTATATGTTTATATTTATGTTTCTATAATTCTCTAAGTTTCTGTTGCTACTATAAAGGTTTAACCCTTATGTCGATAACCACAAAATTCTAAACTTGAGGCAAACAGGGATAGGAGATGTGCCAAATAACAACGATCTGGCCGGGTATTTAAATCTTTTACCTGGAAGATAAAATATTTTAAGTGAGAATTATGCAAAAGGGTTATTGACATCAGGGTTAAATTGTAATTTTGATGTTAGAAAAGCGATTTTTAAGTTTTGTTTTGTAGGAGGTGGTCTAATGAACTTTACTCAAATCAGGATGTCGTGCAAAGTAGTTCATTTCGGACTCTTCGGCGTCCGTCTATTACCGAACCTAAGAACCGACTCTCGTCCGAACCGATGGGTACTCGGGTCTGGTGTTTGTCACTTGCCAAGAGGCGCAGGCCAAGCCATAAACCGTCCCAAAATGCCTACAGTTTAGAATTGATTAACTGATAAATACAATTGATAATAAAAAGTTTATTATCAAAATATGTGAGAAAGATAAGTAATATTTTACAATAAAACAACTTTATTGACATTATATTACTTAATTACCACTAAAACAAGTTGCAAATAACATTTCCTTAACCAATTGTACCTATAGTCAATCTACCCCATACTGCAAGCCTACCTATCGGTCATGGGGCTGGTTGACCAGCTTGCAAGGTCTTAGAAAAACGTTAAAATGCCTTAATTGCTATAACATTAAGTGAACTTTAATAATGTAATCAGGTAATCAAATATATGTTTTATAAAATACAATAATCGTTATAACGATATTTCGCCCATATAATTTATTAAAAGTTAATTCCAGAAAAATATTCGAGTAATTTCATTCTGGAAATATCGCGATATGATTTTATCATTATTGATCAAATAAAAATACGCTTTCCGTGACACCGATGTTAAAGAATGGAGGACATAAATCGCGCGTATCCTCCTCCACTCGACACACGCGGACGAGAATTTAATCAGAATGTCCTCCTATCACAATTTAATTACTCTCTATGTAATTAGTTTCAACCTCGCCGATGAAAATCCATTCGCGATCCGACTTCAACGGAAACTCGCCCTCGCGGAAAAGTGTTTGATTGACTGGCGTCATTCTTTTGCATTCCTTCGTTCCGCTTGGAATAGCAGAAATTCAGAAAATACATAGAGTAATGAGAGATCAAGTGTGAATATTTAAAATTTCTGCTAAAATTGTTGCACACTGTTCCTTTCTTTTGCAAATGAATAAAGTACAATAATTTCTAATTTGAAGTTAAAACATATTTATTATTAAAAATGAGAATTACTAATTACGCAAGTAACACATATTTCATTTAAAAAATTTTTCACTCCATACCATTCGAAGTGAAACGTACGCAACAGTGAAAGTATGTGTAAAAATTTCAATAATTAAAATTCAATTTCAGCTAAACGAAAGACTAGCAATAATCACGGGATGAAATCGAGGACTACCTGGGTGGAATTTCACTCACGAAAAACAACTCCGTCGAATTCGACGAATATTAAAGCCAGCCTGAAATTTGCCAGCGATTCATGAATAATCCGAGAAAAATTCGACGATAATACTCGGGCAACAATTTTCTCTATCGGCGCGGAGAAGGTGGAAAAAAAAAAAGACAAGAGAAGCTTGGAGAAATTTATAATCGTCGAAGCGAACGCGGGACAAAGGGTGAAATTATTCCCGTGGATTCTTTCGAAAAATCGAACCTTTGAAAT